AACCGATACTCGGGTTTATTTTTGTCCGAATTAACCCGATCGGAAATGTCGGAAGGTGATTTTCAAGGCAAAGACCCATATATTAATAGCTCAAAATTTACATTTACAAAAGAAACAAACGGTTAAATGTATATAAAGATACATGCAGTTATATAAACAAGTTTATTAGTTAGGGTTATGCGTGTATAAAGACACGATTACTTTTTATTATCTTGTTTAAGTATAGAACTCTGCTTTTTACAAGAGCGATAATGAGGCTATTTATCATTAGCTATGATTTTTACTAGTTATGCTATATCTAATATCTCTATAAAAATCCAACAATTCTCAATAGAACTAATATGTTAATACATCACATGACAGTATACTACAAGGGCTATCCGCGACAATAAATATTCATCTTTCGCTGATTCAGTTTTTTTGAATTCTTATTATTAAATTGATTCAGTTTTTTCAATTATTTATCTTTTAAATGTTCTTGTTTATTTTGGTTTCTTGTTATTTTAAATGGTTCTTTCAAATTATCGTTCTTTAATTTGCATCAATTTTTCAATCTGCATTTTTAATTCTTTATTTTGTGTTTTCAATTCTTCATTTTGTGTTCTCAACCTTTCATTTTGCACTATTAAATCTTCATGTAGTGATTCAATTAGCTTTTGTATCGACTCATTTTGCATTTTCAATTCCTCTCTCTGTTTTTTTAACTCCTTTTCTAACTGTCGAATATCATTTTCATTGTCCAATATAGAATGTTGAAGCGTCTTAAAAACTCTATTAAATAAATCGTCCCAGCACGGCAAAATATTACCACTATCATTTGATGAGATTGAATGATTTGAATTATCACCAGATATTAATGAGTCATGTTTAGAAGAATTTGATACATTTGATGAAGATGATGCTCTTGAACAATTGCTTGATGTAGAATTACTTCCAGTAGATGACGTTCTTGACCCATTGTTTGAAGTAGAATTACTTTCAGTAGATGACGCTCTTGATCCACTGTTTGGCGTAGGATTACTTCCAGTAGACGTTCTTGATCCACTATTTGAGGTAGGATAATTTCCAATAGATGATGCTCTTGACTTCCTGCCTGATGTAGAATTACTTCCAGTAGATGCTCTTGACCCACTGTTTGATGTAGAATTACTTCCAGTAGATGCTCTTGATCCACTATTTGATGATAAAGGTTCTTCAGAAAGCTCGTTACAAATTAAAGGTATGTTAGAGCTGTATTTAATAACACGCTTGGTTGAATATTTCATCATAATTTGTATGATTTTTAAAAATTATCAATACAATTAAAATGTGAAACAATCTAAGGTCTTGTTTAGTATTGATTCAATATATACACTTAGCATACTATTTAGTATTCCTAAATAGTTCTAATATTAATTATTGTTATGTATGGTATTTGCTTATAAAGGAAAAAGTGGTAAATTTTATCAGCATAAATCTTTCATATGTATTTCTAGTTGAATTTTGGATGCACTTACTTAGCATTAATACTAAATTGGTAATTACTTTATTAATATGTTTTTGCAAATTCCAGTTTCCTTACGTACATACGTACAGTACGCCAATTAGACATAAATATAGATAATTAAAAACAACATTTTTAATAATTCTTTATCCGTCAATTTTGTACATACGTACGTACGTATGTAGGTTTGCCAAAAAAACTATATATCTCCTGATTATTTGACTTGCATAAGTGCATGCAAACGTACGTACATGGAATTATTTTCAAGATTTACCGAATTAATGAATGAAAATTTAGAGTTCATCCATTCTAAATCTATGATACGTAATACTAAATTATTAGGATTGGCTTAAAAGAGGATTTACATTTATTAACTTAAATATTTTCTAACAAAAAAGTTCGCTTAGGCTAAAATTTCATATCAGTCTTTAACAAACTTGGAACAATTTATTTAAATATTTAGTATATATTTCTAAGTCAAATAATAAGCGATGAGTTAAATATAGTACTAGTCTAAATTAAACGTACGTACGTACGTACGTACGCACGCATGATTTTCCGACTTTTTATGGTAATTACTTAAATAGATAAGGGCTAAAGTAGAATTTACCGAAATGCCTGATATGTTAATTCGTAAAAAGGAATTTCCTTATTGAATTAATATTACCATTATCGTTTGCGTGATGCATCGTGTTACAATACGTACAATATAGGAATCAAGTGATACTTTACACAAGGTGTAAATATCCTGATTAAGTATTTCCTATTTCATGCTTATACCATATCGATATGCGATATGCATAACGAAATTCAAATATTTGTGAAAATAATGGCATAACTTGTTTCATATGTTCGTTATTTTAAAATTCGCAAATGATACATGTCGATTTGGAGGTGGCAAACTAAAAAGACTAAATATGGTATATGCTGTCGTGGGGTAAAATGTGGTATTAAAAAGGTAGGTGTGGCCTGTTAATCAAGTATAAAGTAATACGTACCATAACATGTTTGATATGTGTTATAAACCAATTTTATCACTCTGTGAATTTAAACTAAACATAATTTATATTTATTAATCGTATATTGCATGCATGCATAAAAAGGAAAGGTAGCAATAGGGCGCATTAATCAATGAGCCTAAGTAATAAGGGGCGGTTAGATTCATCACGTCAAAGGAAATTTTATGAATTTATCATTTAGGTCAATGGACATTTTTCCCAAACTATTGTTTTTGCATTTGCTTATCAAAAACTTTATAATTAATAGAATAATAGAGTTATTGTTCAATTAATTTCATATTTTTATTATGAACCTTTGTTATAATCATTAACGTATTGTTAACTATTTTCTAGCAAAGAATCGTTAGAAAACTCAAAGAACAATAATTCTTTTCAATGACGCATTGTATTATTACTCTCAGCAAAATAATAACGGAAATTGGTAAAATACGTAAATAAGAATAATAGAAGAAGCTGGATTAGTGATACGGGTCGACCCCGGCCCAACGGCCGGGTCGATGGGCGGGTCGACCCTCAGCCTGACCTTTGTGGGCCGGGCCGGTTGATAAGAGAAGTGTTAGAATCATTTCTCTTCTAAGCATATTTTTAGGCTAGAAATTGAATAAATAATCGACTAGTTGTTTGTAATAATGTAAGTGAAGTTGGCTTATTTAGGTGATAAATTTGGCAAATAGCAAGTATAATATATGGATCAGAATTGTTCGGTGGCATAGACAATCAATCAACATAAAATATTAACATGCCGAAATTTTCCCAAGGACAAAAAGAACAAAAATTAAATCGTTTAATATCACAAGAATTCGACAAGAAACTACCTGATGGCCTTTTGCACATTTAATATAGATATGTTGATTGATTTTGGTCAGAAAAAAATTACACTAGCAAAAAGGTCGGCCCGGTCGACCGGTCCAAGCTTTTTTAGGATTGATCCCGGCCCACGATTTTTTCATCGACCCGCATCACTAAGCTGGATTGATATCCTTTATGGCATTTAACAGACCAAACATAATCGATAGAAGCTTTCCATGCATTGATTAAATTCTTTATTTTTGATCTATCCTAAGCAATTGAGTGTTATTACGATTATTAACTAATCACAGTAAAAATATGATGCCTGAACAAATCTCAAGAATATTCTAAAATGTTATTAGAATAGTTAAAATTACGTTTTAATTGATTTCGATCATTAGAAAATTGTATCTATAGTTCTTCAACCTGTAAGGACAATATGCAATTGAATTTTATGGATGATTTGAATGTGTAGCATAGAACTATAACACATATCATTGATGAGGTCTTATTTATGGTACAGGATTTAGAATTAAATTTGTTGAGTATATGCATATAAGTTTTAGTAGATGTAATAGATCCAATTTGAAACTCATCAACCGAACTTAGAATTGACCTTGGCAATTTTCACTGTTTCTTTTTTTTTTTTTTTTTTTAAAGGTGAGGTTTTGCCTTTATCTTTATTTAATAATTTGTATTGAGAATCCACAATTTTCACTGTTTCAATCTTTGATAGCAACCACTAAAACTTAGAAAAAAATACTCTAAATACAATGCCAAGAGGTCTATAGTAGTTTAATATTGATTTTACATGTTCATTTACTCTTTTCTATTTATTTCTGTAAGTACAATTAGTACTGCTAAACTATGTCATAATATGTGCATGAAAGTGTATATGACCTATATGCTAGCTTTCTCATGATTGATGGATCATATCAGCTTGAATTTCTTCACCACAGATTTTATTCAGCACATTCTTGATTGCTTCAAATTTTTTTCTTAGAATTTTCAAATTTAGAAAAACCAGTACAAGCAATAGTAGTGTAATCAGTTACTTTATCATCAAAAATAGATTCACTTAATAAATGAAAGTATTGACTACTTCACTAAAACAATTCTTAATTACAAATAAAATTTGATTTAAATCATTACTAATATTATCAGCTTTTGTTTAATATTTTTTTGTTGACTCAAAGGAGTTAGTTATTTTCTACAGTATCAATAACCTGATGTTTTTTCTTTCATAAATTTTAGGATAATATTTATTATGCATTATTCTACTTAGTTTATTCACTAAATTATAAAATGTTAATATTTTCTAGATATATAAAATGTAAATATACAGAAGGTAGTATACTATTGTAGACACTTTTTGAAAATTTATATTGAACTAAATAAACAAGATATAGTGCTAAAAATTATATAAATATTATTTAAAAAGTCGCAGGGTGATTAAAAAAACTCTAACCACAGATCAATTTTACCAAAACCGGAGCAAAAGTGAAAAAACCCTGAACAAAGAAAACTCAAGAAAGTACTAACTAAATATACTCCAGGCCCTTAAGCAAACTTGTCCAGCGTAGCTGGAAATATAATAAAACAATAAGCTTTCCAAAAAACCTATATTGGAGCAACAATTACTGGACAGAGAACAGATAAACAACACCACTACAACTTTCTACTTGCAAGTGGTAAGGGTCCTATGGACCTGTCAACCCCATCTTAGGAAACATCTTAAGACAACATGCAAACTATCGATAGCAGTACAAGTAATAGTCAAATGCAAACTTCTATACAACAAACCCCGAATACCTCTGAATGACAAAGTGGGTTCTTTGCATCCTCTCTAGCCTACTTCTCTCACAAGACAACCAATTCAAAGGTTACAACAACTGCTAGCACACAACAAAAGGACCTAACAGCAGAATACACCAAGAAATTCATCAATATTACTATCAAAAACTAGACAAAACTTATCTTCACTATTACCTTTATTATCTCTGACTTCGCTGACAGATACTTATTCACTATTGACCTTATTCTAAATTTGGTTAAATTTTCTGCATAATGAATATGCAAGCACAATAATATTACTCAATCAATTCTTTTCGCTTTTACAAACTACTCCAAATGTAATTTCATAAACATTAACGGCAAGTTACCTAGAAGTACTC